CGCGTTTTTATGCGTGTAAAAGAGCCCGGAACGCTCCTCGTCCCGACCGAAATCTTCGTGCCGTCCCGGAGCTTTCGCGTTGTGTAGGTCTTTACTCGAGTTCCCTTCGCCGCCACGCGTGTCGGGTAGCGACTTTTCGGATCTCTCCCGTCGATCGGAATCGAGCACGATATCCGTTTCCCGTCATCGGGCCAACCCCATTTACGTATTGTTTGTATGTATAATGTAAAATAAGAAACTGATCCGTTCACTCGCGCACTCACTCATCTGCAAACGCACGGTGTAAATCGCTCGGGTCGGAAACTCGACGTGTTGAAAGTGGGTACGCCGTTTACACCGTATAAGCGTTCGCCACCGAGAAGGGATTTTTGTGAATTCCGCCACTAACGAGACAAACAAGGGGCCCAAAGTCGGTATGAAAATCCGTCATTGCGGAAGTAACCAATTTAAAAAAAAAAAAAAAATATAAATGACCGGACAACAGCCGCTATTAACTGCTGCGGGGATAAGGGCGGGAACGGGGAGACGCGTTAAATCGAATATGTTTTACAACGGTTTCCGTTGTCGAACGGACCGAGCTCGGAGATTGCCGGACGATTCAGTTATCACGGGTAGGCATACCCGGACCCAGTGGTCCGGTCGGTAAAAAAATGACGAGAAAACAGTCGGGACGGCGTAAACGCAGTATCGTCGATAGTCCGCGTTTTATTGTGTGGTGACGCCCAAGCGTTTTGCGAAACGCGCCCGAATAAATTATTACGTTGCACGACCGATGCCGATCGACAGTACCGCCGCCGCCACGTCGTCAGGTCGAACGAGCCGGTTGTCCCGTGGTGTTTAAAACGGGTATGACCGTGCGTGCATAATATTACAATATAAATATGTTATACCGGTCCCGGTCACGGGTATAATGATAATAACATTGTAATGCGTAAATGCTCGCGCGCGTTTAATGATTTCGTTTTCTAACGCGGTGACCGGTTCTCTGTCGTATGCCTTTCCCCCCGTCGACGCCGCTCGAACGTGGCGTCGCCCCGGGTGTGTGTAGTTATGGACACACGGTAATAATGATAATAATACCGTGTTAACCGTTTCTGTGCGCTCGTATTATTATACACTTTCCACCGTATTTTAACCGGCCCCTTTCTCTTTCCGGACCGATCCGAGGTTTTTTTTTCGCCCACCCCGCGGTGACGTCGATCAATACGTTTAATACGTGAACTACCGCATGATGATATCACCGTGCAGTTACCATTCGTACGCGTTTCGATCGTTCGCCCGGTGAAATCGCATTAAAAACCAAAACGAGGGGCGTTTCTGGTAGCGTTTTCGATCTACAATCGACGTTGCCGTTGATTTTGTTCTCGGACGAAAAAGCCATTATGGTTTTATAAACATGTGCGTTTTTATCCCGACTTGTTCCAGAAGGTGCGGAATCCGTTCACTTAATGGTGTGCTTTACTTTCCAACGTACTTGTATTTTTCTTAATGTTTCGGTTAACCCGGCAATGTGGCACGAAAGCACGACTAATACAACTATACTCCGCACAGAAACGTTTTTGTGCGATTAATACAATGATTTATTTTTGTATACATGTATTGTATATAGTGCATATAGTTGTATATATATATATATATTTTTTTTTTAAATTTTAAACGAGAAATATACAATCTGTGCCCTTGGGATAAGTGATAAGTGAACGATTTATGACGCGCATAGATTTTTCGTGTTGAACACGGCGATTCCCATCATGAAGCAGGATTTTAAAACTTAAATCAGTTCTGTTATATTTTGAGTTTCCTCGGTACGCCCCAGGATAAACTAACTACTTAAAACAAATGGCGAACGAGCTTTGGCTTATCGTCGATGCGAAGAAGGCGTACCGTTCAGATTGGTTTAATTTTTTTTTCTCTAAAACAATCACACTTTCGATTGTCCATTCCGGTGTAGCGCGCGTAATTTGCAATATTACTATCCGCGAACCACGTTGATCCGTCGGTCCGTTTTTGTGGTCCGTAAAGTGAACAATACGCACAATAATAATAATAATGTCCCAACTCGCACATAAAACAGTGTTTTCGAATTATCTACCGACGTCGGTTGCATGCGACCGTATACAGGCCAAGTAAAATGCAGCACAAACGACTTGTTTAGAAAATATGTTATTATGGTTTTATCGCAATATTTATAATAACCGGGCTTTATACGGATTGCCAATGTGCAGCGCAATTCGATCGACAGAATACGCGTACACGTCACAAATTTCATAACCGCGGATTTATGTGAGCCACGTGCGTGCGGATATCTCAATTTTCTATCGGCATCGTACGTAAATGTTAGGATTCGCAATACGGGTACTATAGTGGCCAGCGGGTATACCCGGTGTATTCTCACCGGGACGATTTTATGTTTCGTCGTTCGTCGCGATTGCACCGGGTTTGCCACCGGAGATTTACGAAGACAAGTGCGACGAAAAGTATACATTTTTAACAAAAATAAATTGCGCTGCTTTATTAGCTGCACAAATCTTAATATAATACACTGTGATCAATTTGTTTTAAGTTAACGCCAAACGTTTCGGCCGGTGTAAATTCGGTTTTTGATTGGTTATCAGGTGGTACTGAAATAGGTACACATTTTAGGATCCGTTTGTTCATTTTGTTAACTGAAAATTTAATTTTAAATGAGAACAATTTTGTTTGTTTTTTCCATTGTACAATTCGACTCGCCCTTATGTCAATATTTTATTGATTCGAATAACATTACACGTTACCATTTTGAATTTTATACCGAAAACAACTTTTTTTGTCTGAGTACATATTTAAATTTTTTGAAATTATTTAAAAAACTCAGTTTTATTACTCACGCGCACATCCAAAGGTTTTATAATTATTCCTAAAATGCCGATTTCGGTACTCTCTATCACGTACCGTAAACAGAATTTTAATCCAAAGACCGTCCATAACCCGACAACCGTCGCATTGTGGTCATTTTCGGACCAGCGGAAAAATCGTCTAGTACGTATCGACGGACCGTTTCACTTTTCGCGGTGTGAAAACGTGAACGAACCTGAATAGGAATTATTGAGAACTAAAAGAGAAAAATGATAAAGAGATCAAATAATACGCAGTGTATATATAGGCACATAGGCATCAAAATATAATATCGATGTTTAGGCAGAACATCTACGAAATTGAAATCCATTCAGTGTCATGATTCGAATGTCCTAAATTTGAAATGAAAAATCGTCAATAATAATGTGTCGCCGCAGAAATTATAGAATATCGTATTATGCGGGCCCGCGTGCGTGCGTGCGTGTGTGCATTATAACGAAAACAAACTAATACGACAATGATAAGTGACGACGGTAATACAATAGTGTAACGCGTAGACCACAATGGCGCGGGTGACCGCAAAGAAGTCGAAAGTATTTTTCAATTTTTTTTTTTTTTTTTTTTTTTTTCCATCTTCTGTATATACATATATTACGTACGTTTATATTATACGCACCTACCTGTTGTACATTATTAATAATACATCGTATAATAACAATAATATTATTGGTAGAGGTTCGTCAAGTCGTTTTGCGGAACGAGTGATTAATATCAACCGTAGTCGAAAGAGATGACCCCACGCGGATCTGCCCCGCTGGTGCATTTTCAATTTTGTTAACTTTTAGAGGCGGATATTTTCGCGATATTCAATATTCTTGAACAGATTAAAATAATACTATAGATGAAGTTTTTAAAAATGATTTTCGGTTATTTTTTTTTTTTTTTTTTTTTTTTTTTTGTTTTGGTGTACAATGGCTGTATAGTTGATTTTCGATCATATCGCCGGATCAGTTCTCCCGAAGTCCAAATTACGCCCCTTGATCCATCCAGATACAAAAATTATCAATTATAATAACTAATATCTTAACGTGAAACTTGTTAATACATTTTGCAAACGTTTATTCACGAAAAGCTAATATTAGGCCAACATTATAAAGATTAATCGTGTACTAAATACTAACGCCAATTCAAAATTTAATAAAAACTATTAATGGAGAATTTGAATATTTGATTGAAAAAAATGTGCACATTAGTAGGAAATTTAAATTTTTTGAAACGTCTGAGTTTTTGATATTTCCAGGGTAAATAAAATAAAAGAAAAAATCAAGTTTTAATATTTGTGATAAATTACATTCATTTTTACTTTTGACAAAATAGCTTCACGGTGAATGCGATTTTTTCCAAAATATCTCTCCAAATTTTAAGAATATAATACTATGTATTTCTAACTTGTACTTACTCTTAATAAGAATTTTAAAACAATGCCATAATCGTTTCCTTCGTTAAATCCTCACCAACTCTATAGTGAACGAATATTCTTATTATTATATATCAGAGTATCAGTGTATACCTATTTTTCATTAGACATTTTTTTTTTAAATAAAACGAATAATATTCATAAAATACCTATTTAGGAAAAAATTATAATATTATGTAATAAGTCAATGTCAATTTTATTTGAAAAACTGATAAAACAGATCTTTTACAAAATTACAAAATAGTTTATAGTTTTTAATAAAATGCTTCCTAACATAACATATCTCAATAATACAATGATTACCGAATTTAATATTAAACGTTTAATAATATTCTAACATTTACATACATACATAATATTTAATCATCATTTATTATAAAATATAAAAACGCATTACAATAATAATAAATTAAAATTGATTAAAATAATCTATGAAAAAATTGAATAAAAATAATAAATACTCAATACCTATTATTATAGTTGTTTTTTTATAAAATGAGAAATACGAAAAACCTTACGTATAAGGGTACTAAACCCAACGAAATCTCCTTCGAATCACTCGTTCTAAAAATGACCGCTTTACTTTTGTACATACAAATATATCATATTTTATATATTATGTTTTGATATATGTGTAATATTTCTTGTTTACTCTGTCGCTCTAACTTTGCTCCCCCCCTGTGGTTTAGATGTGACTGTCCTGTTGCTTGACGAAACTGGCAAGAAAAAGACATCCCCCACAGTTGGACTGTTGTCTTCAATGGCTCGCACGTTCGTCCAAGACGGTGTTACAACCGAGTACGCGACCCACGTTATTGGCACCACCGTAGGCGACCGTTACGCGCATATTGTTAGCACCGGTTCTCGAGTGTTTTACGACAATATTAAACCGACCAACCGGCACGATACACCTGAAATTAATTTGCAAACTATATTAGATAACCTAGGACAAACTCAGGCATTCGAGAAAACGAAAGAAGAGGATACAAATTTAATCGAAGGGAACCAACTCGAACCATCAACTACCCCAGAAACGGTTAACAAATTAAATGTATCAGTTAGACAGGAACTATCGGTGCGAAAAATCTTTAGTCCAGAAGTCATTAAACCGGCAAAGGTGAACGCGAAAAATGGGTTGCCGACATTTACGGTCAAAAGTAGCGATGACGATTATTTTCCCGTGGAGGAACAGACCACTAAGCGTGATGACTCGTATAAAAACAAATTAAGATCATCTAAAAATTTGTTTAGAAATGGGTTCAAACCTATTGAAATAAAAAAATACGAAACCGTTACGTATTTCGGATTCGCTGATTTCATGACAACCGTCGGAAATACCGTTATAATATTTATGCCTAAGACTCCAGCGGTTCCCGAAGCCACGAGTGTTACTAGTATTAAGGGTGAAGCAACCCTACGGCCTGAGGATATTATAAGTCCAACGAAATCTATAACATTGTCTTCCACTAAAACGTTGGAATCAACTACAGAGAAAGTTGAATACAATAACGTAATTGAGTCTAGTATAGCGACCACAGAAGAAACAATGGCCATGCCCACAGAACCACTGTCTCGGCGTATTTCAGAAACCACAAGAGTGTTCAACAATGAACAAGAAGCATTGGGGTTGTTGAAAACAATTGGAGGCGTGGACGTTATTGACAGTAAAACGACCAGACTAACTACATTTTTTTACGGTACGTATATTAATGGCAAATATACACAGTTGGAGCAAACCGTCTCTACGTTACTCTCTAAACCATCACAAATGACTAAAACCACTAAAATCGAAATACCGATGACGAAAATTCCAACATCAACAGAGTCTCAGACGACGACAGAAAAAAATATGAACGAAGTTACTACGGAATCCGAAGAAGAAATATCCACAACGCCAGAAGAAGAAACGATATCGCCGTCTTCATCTACCGAAGGTTCTATGTATAAAACGTACACGTATTTGACAACGTTCTTTATACCAGTAGATGAAAGTTTAACAACTACATCAGTTAAATCCAGAATTGTTCTATCACCAGAATCTACTCATACGACCGAAACTACAATGACTCAAATTACTACAACTACGACCGAAAGTATTCCTACAACAACTTCTGAAGATGAAGATATAAAAAATACCACAACTGAAGAAATTATGGTTACAACTGAAAAAGAAACGGAAAATAAGGAGATCGCTGAGTTAACTACTGTTCCAATGAAAGATAATCGTTCTAACGAGGAAGTAACAACAGAAAAATCAATGATTACAGAATCAAATGACGACGTAATGACTACGGAAATGAGTCCTACAACTATAAAACCAGAAGAAGAAGAAGAAGTGGAATTGTTGTTTAAAACATTATACACAACGTATACGTACTTGACAACATTTTTCCAAGAGTCAACGACTAGTGTTTTGAGTAGAGAAGAAGTTGTTACTAATATTGTCACGTCTACTTTAGAAAAAGATTCATTTTCTACAGACCCTGCAGTAGCTGGCCTGTTTGATCGAGAAGAGGGTAATTTAATAAACTCTGAAGTACGAGAAACTGCAAGAAATCCAAGAATACTAGCTACACGTGTTGGTTCAGGACGACCATCATCGGCCTTCTTACATAAACCAGTCGATGACTTGTTTGTTTCCACTTTAGATTCTGTAGATTTTAACAAAGAATTAGCCACGCCTCCTTTAGATGAAAACGGAGTAAAAACATTTTCGAAAACTTATACATACTTCACAACACTTTTATCCGATGGATCTACGAACCTTAAAAGTCACACTGAAGTATACACTAATGTAATCATGCCATCTAACATTCCATTTTCACAACGCATCCAATCTACGCCAGTAAAAGATACAATTAAATCAACAATATCAGAAGTACCAGATTCGATACCAGAGTCTATGGATGATCCAGGTTCTATAAATGAGGAAATGGAAGAAAAAATTGAAACAAAAAAAGATGAAAACAATGATTCATTAGTCACTCCATCGTATAAATATGATATGACAATTACGAGAAACCGTACGAATTACAATAATATTATAGACGAAGAAAAGCCTGTAAATGATGTAATTGGTGAATCGATGGTTACAGATACAAAATCAAGCTCATCTAACAATATTAAACGGAAAGTTTCGAATGATGAAGATGAAGACATGGAGAGTTCTGAAAATAATGAGAATATTGAATCATCTCCAACAAATCAGTTACAAACTAGTTTCACAACGTACACTTATTTTACAACAATTTATAAAGGAAGTTCTTCTAGTGAAGTTATTAGTCGTTTTGAGACTATAACAAATGTTGCTCCACATACAATTGAACCAACAGAAGTGGATAATTTGAATGGCGAAGAAACAACATTACCCGTAACTTTTTTTACCACATACACTTATTGGACAACTCTTTACAAAGATGGTAACACATTAGTAACTAGTCGTGAAGACACTTTGACCAACGTGATGTTACCCTCTATTTCTGATACTATTTCAAATACACCCGCAATAGAACCTTCATCGTCTTCATCTATGATTAAAGTGACAGCCACTGAAAAACCACTTGAAACAGAACCGACTACATACTTTACAACATTTACCTATTTTACAACGTCTTATGTTGACAATGAAACAATAGTGAATAGCAGATTAGAGACTGTAACAAATGTGATAAATACAACAGATACAAATGAAAATATAAATAATGATGGAGTTGATTCTAGTGATAGTGTGATTAAAACCACACCAGAAAAGCCATTAACTGAGAATGTACCAATGCCAGTTTTAAAACCTACAGGGTTAATATCGTCAATTACAACCCAAGAAGTTAACAAAGGAGAAACTACCTCATTTACCACAGATGTTTATGGTACTTATATAGATGGATTGTATGCCCAAATACTAGAAAGTAGGTCAAATGTTGTTAAAAATGTAACACCAAGTGAAGTAAAGTCTGATGGAAAAAGTACAGGTGTCGTGGCATTAAACGAGGGAAAAATTGTGGATGCTGACGGAGTAAGTACTACATTTTACACAACAAAAGCTATTGGTACTTATATTGATCAACTTTATGCTCAAGTCATTGAAAGTACATCCTCAATCAAAGTAAATGACAATAAAAAAATTGTTGACCCTTCTACAATTGTTCTGGGTGCTAAAACTTATCGTACTGGTTTATTAAGTCTAATTGAAGGAACTAGTGTTAAAGATTTAAGTACTACATTTTATGAAACTAAAGTGATAGGAAAAGTAGTAGACGGAAAATATACTCAAGAATTTGAAAGTGATTCAAAAGTCAATGTTGGAGTACAACCAACTGTTGTTCAAGAAATAAAAGCATCTTCAACACAACTTAATGAAATTTTTCAAAGTGAACTGCCTATAACACCATCACCTGCAGCCATTGAGAGTTCACTGGGTGAAAATGGTTCTAAACCAGAAAAGACAGAAGAAACTGATGAAGATAACTCTACTAAAAAGAAAACGTTCCCTGTTATTAGACCTTTCGCTTCAAGGCCCAGGCCAACATTTCAACCTAAAAAGAAAGCTACTGACAGTTTGAGCGCTGCTACTATAAACCGGAGTATAACCCCGACTATTGTTGCTACTCCAGCGTTAAAAACAAATGAAAAAGGTATAGGACCATCCAGCAGGAATCGGTTTTCAGGTGTTCGAAAATCTAGTTCATCTCAATTAGCTGAAATAATTCCATCATCGTCAAATAGCCGAAAATATTCAAGGTCTAAGATTGTTAATACACCAATAGTATCACCTTCAGTCAATTTTAAAAATAGAACACCTTCATCAGCAGTAAAAATTACTCCAACTTCTTCATTATCTAGTTATGGAAGTTCTAGAAGAAGCAGTTTTAACCAAAGACAGTCAAGTTCTAAACTTCAAGATAACATAACACCCAGAAGTTCAGCGTCATCAAGGTTCAGAATACGCCCAACAGCATCTTCAAATTTTAATCGCTTTTCAAGTACTACTGTTACTACCACAACACCAACTACTGAAGAAATTCCAGACAATAATGAAGTAAGCACGTCTTTAGTGACCGACGAAACTCTATTAACTTCTAACAACGAAGAAGAAGAAAATATTACTCAACCGACATCTACAACAACGGAATCAACGAGAAGGGGTAACAACCCATTATTAAAACTGCGTCGACCACCATTACCAAAAACACCAATTACAACGCAATCACCTAGAAGAAATCCTGCGAGAACTACAGCAAGAACAACAACTAGTACAACAACAACTACGCCTAGACCTCAAAGACCAAAAACACCTAGTCCATTAATTACACGGAATAGACCGAAACCTGTCAACGGATTATTCCCGTCTAGAGGTTTAGGTAAAAAAGAACTAGAACAGGAGGTAACAAGTGAAACAAGTTTGGATGAAGAAAAATTACAACAAGAGGTGAAAGATGATGAAGTTATTGAGGATAATGAAGATGGTGCTGCAACTCAAGTTGAATCACAATCCAACACAGTTTCAGAAACTGAGAGACCATCACGAGGAGGCCGAACTTTTAATAATCAAGTACAAATCAGGCCCTTCAATAGTAGAAGGAGTAGGACAAGAAGGCAAATTGAATTTGGAAACAAATATGACAACAGTAGAAGTTATAGAAGTAAACAACCGGTCAAAAATACCAATGCGGATTATTATTATGATGAGTATGTAGAACAAGAACCTCCAGCGACCACAAAGGCACCTACACCAAAAAGGCAACCAAGTAGATCTAGACAACAACAGAGAGTTACACCAACTACTTCTTCGTCTAATGTTGGTAGATCACAATTTACTCTACGAGAAAAGACTCCTACTACAACGGCACCAGCTCCAACATTAAGGACATCGAATTATAGAAGAACACGGCCACCTGTACAACAAGAAACAACTACGTCCAAAAGAATATCTAGGTTAAGATATCCAACTACAACACCAGAGCCTGTCCGTAATAACCGTCGTTATACACCTTCGTCTCGTAGACAAAACACAAGAACGAGATTTAGAGAAGATTTGAACACATTGTCAAACACCCAAAGTATTTATGACGGATCAATTACAGTTACACATAAAATACCAACGGAATTGACCATACCTATAGTCATTGGAACAAATACTGAATACAAACAAGTATTGACGGCTAAACCAAGTATCGAGATACTTGGGCCCCATCAATATAGTACAGTGGCAGGTAAAAATGGATTGCCAACAATTCAACTTATCAGAGAAGTAACAGAAACGTTACCAAATGGTGCAACAGAAATAACTAAGTTTGTTGTTTACGAACAAGCAACAAGCATTGTAACGTTTACTCCAACTTATATACGGGGAAGAAAAACATCCTATTCCCATATTATACCCAGTACCATATACGATGTCAAACCTGAAGTAAACACAATTCAACCACAATTAGCCAATGCACCATTAGCCAATTTACTGTTATCACAGCTGCTTTTGGGTAATTTAGGAATTCAACCCACTGTTAACCCACTATTGGCTTTAAACTCAGGTATGGCAATACCGCAATCACCAATAACTGATTATAAGACAAAAAGTACAACTTACGTGACTACAGTTACGCATTCCACGTCAACTGTATTACCACTTACTTTTAGAGGAAAAGTTATATCTACAACAATAATTGACAGTTCTACAAATGTTATTACGGCTACCGAATACATAACTGAAACAATAGTCACTACTCCAACCATTCAACAACCTAATAATCAACTTAACACATTGTTACTACCTGCATTACTTCAAGCTCAATTACTAGGACAAGCGACTCCTGTGAACAATTTGCTGGGCAGTATTGATTCCACCCAAGATGAACTTCTTCAAGAATTAATTGAACCAACCCCAAAATATGGAGATGATACTAAACCAGCAAAGAAAAAAGCTATAATTAAAAAACCACCAGATCCTATTATACAACCGGATGAAGCGAGTGTCGTGACATTGTATGTCTCGGGTAAAAGACCGGGAGAATTTAGTACAGTGTTATCAACTGTTAACTATGATGAAACAGCAACTGTTCGTAAACGAGAAGTTGAACCTTCATCCGTAATGGATTTAATGGCTACGAAATTTGGTGACATTTTATTATCGCCCACCAACGACGATCCAATTCAAAGATATAATGAAGAAGAAACCCAGAGCTTAGAGAGTATTATAGGTGATGTGAGTAAAAATGTTAAAATTGAAAACCGTGCTACAAAAGTAAATGTAGTATTCGTTGAGCCTTCTCAGCAAACCCAAGAAACTACCGGTCATTTTTTATGGAAAGGCTCCGCTGATTCTCCAGTTCAGCGGGAAGTCGTAAACTCAAAAATCTGGAGTTCAAAAAATCGAACAAAAAGAAATACGTCTAATTTTCTACCCGATAAGGACGTATTTTTGTTCAATTTTCCAAAAATACCGAAAACAAATTTAACCCAAAGCATTTTGTACAATGTTGGTGATAGGGAAAACTCTTCTTTTACTTTCCCAAACAATCTAGATGACTATAAAATTGATGCCAAAGGTAAGATATCATAGTTTGTAATTTAATAATGAATTTTGATTTAATGCTATATTATATAAATTTTAGCCGACGAACAAAGAGGATTTGATGAAAGGCGTTTTAATTTTGCTACAAAAAAAATGAGTAACGGTGTCGAGGTTATAGTTGCTGGAGACAAGAGTACTTATCCCGGCCAAGCCAGTGTTTTAAGGGTATTGCCTACATCACAGGCGAAACCTATCACACTAGCTCCAAGCACATTAACCGATCACATGCTCATGATGCTGCCCCATCCAATCAAACAAGTTTGTTTTTAAAAATATATAAATACTGAAACAACGTAGATGGCTACTAAGTGATGATACACTTAACATAATTAGTGTATAGCATTCAATTTTTTTTTTATTGTTTTTGTTTCCTCTAGAGTATGAATAACCAATTTGTTACCAAAACGTATCTGACTACATATACATATTTAACAACATTTTTGGACAGAGAAGCTACGGTAGTGTCTAGTCGAGAAAAAATAGTATCTAATGTAGTTACAGATGAACTGAATAAGATCACTCCTACCGCAACACTAAGTCAAGTTACCTTGACAGCCAGTCCAAGTTTAGAAACGGGCGTCTATCACACTACGTATACGTATTTAAATACTTTTGTTGACGGAGATATCCCTCTCGTTATGACTAGTCGAAAAACTGTTGCTAATACAGTTACAGCACCTCATGAGTTTTTAACTCCATTACAACCATCTGAACCCGCATATTACAACACCAATACATATTTAAATACAGGTACGATAAAATATACATACTTAAATTTTTTTAGTTTCAAATATTTAAAAATTGTATATATTTTATGGTTTTAGTTTCATTTACAAAAACGTTAAGCGACGGACCTGATTTCACGGTTGTTAGTACTGAAGATATATTGACTCAAGTAGTTATAACGAAAACGGATAATACTCCAACCTTGGAATCATCTAAATTAAAACTAGAAAGTACAACAACGGATATGACTAAAACGTATTATGTTACTTATACATACTATAATACAATTCAAGATGGGGATAGTACCGTCGTGAAATCAGATATTTCAGTATCTTCAGATATAGTTACAGAAAAGTATCTAGTACCCACTAAAATAAATGAAATACAGCCAACACCGACTGTTGATAAACTTCCATTTCATTTGTACGCAACTAAAACTTATTTAACGACTTTTACATATTTTACTACATTATTAAAAGATAATGACGGTAAAAATCCATCAAGTACACACGTTAAATCAAGAACTAAAATAGTACAGAACATTGTTACTGAATCATTAAACGCATCAATTTTTAATTCAAATTATTTATCATCTATTAGCTCTTCAGTACAAAATGTAAAATTACCTATTACTGCAACTGCGACTTTAGACAGTGGTCAAATAATAGAGTTTACAGCGATGAATGATTTGTTGCCAAGTGAACCAAATGCAATTAATCCATCTCATCCTATTCCAATCCAAGAAACTTTAAGACCAATAATTAATGAAAACATTTCTAAACCAAACGAAAAACTTAAAGAAACTATCAAGCCATCAAGCGTTAGTAAATTGTCACAAAAGACTGAAATCCAAAAACCACCGAAAAAAAATTCTCCACCAAAATCCGAACAAAAAATACCTTTGAATACAATATCTGATAATACAAATGTTGGAGGACTTATTGATTTTGGGACAATTGGTAGTAGTTTAACTGCACTTAAACCAGTTATTAGTGCTGTTGCTGGTATAATTCAAAATAATTTGAAAAATGATCAAAAGATAAAAAATGTTCACTTATTACAAAAATCAACGCCTAAACCAGTTAAACAAGAAACAACTAGCCGGGCTCCAATATATATACCCGTTGGTGGACTAGCTGATTCGATTGGATCAGAAACACATCAATATCCAGATACAGATCAAAGACACCCACATGTTGGACCATCAAGACCACCCGTCGAATCATCTTTAATGTCAGGAGGCATTCCTATAAGTCCCGGTGAAGTAATTACGACAAACAGTGACGTAATTATTGGAAAGCCTTCAGTTTTAGGCCCAAGACCACCAATGGAAAATTTGAGGAAAGACGAAATTCCCTTTGGCATGAGACCACCTCCACCTCCAATACAGTTCAAAGATAAAATATCTATTCCAAATAATGTTGCAAGGGAACATATTAAAAACCCTTTGCCTCACACAGACAGAAAAAACAATCAACCCGTACGATATCATGAAAACCGAGTACAAGCTCAATATCAGCTCACGAATGTTCCAGTTAAATCGGAAGTCAATATAATACCACTAAGCAAGCCAGATCCTTGGCCAACAAAGTTTGTAACCGATGTTCAACCATTAGTCTTAACAAGTCCAGATATTCAACCTGAAGCCAGTTATGGAAATCAAAATTTAATAACATCCAATCAACCATCATTTTTGGAACAATCTGCTATTGATCCATTATTAGTGAATATACAACCATCTCAAGTAGCACAGGTTGTGATTCCTCATGGCAGTCAAACTGCATTAATTTACAGCGATCAACCAGCAGTTGGCCATGGACCAAAAGGTGAAATATTTAATGACCCACAACCTTATCCTGAAAATCATGTAAATCCGGGTTTCGTCGGATTAGAAATTTATGGCACCGTAAATCCAACTAACAATGTTGCATCAAAAATACCAACAAATGCAATTCATTTCGATGTACCAGTTTCTCCCGCAGGTATAACCGTAGGCGATTCAGAATCGCATCATTTAGTTTTATTTGATAATGAAACAGGAGAAGTTAAAACAAGACCAGTTCATATTTTAAAACCACAAAAACCACAAACACCTAACAATCAATATTTAACACCACCATCAATATCACAAGTCAACTCATTTGTAAGAAGACCCGATGCAGCATTATCAGTTGAAGATGATTTATTACAGTTTGAAGATGGTGAAGTCACTCAAGAATCAAAAAAAACGCCATTAAGACCAGGAGAATTACCATTTGGAGTTCATAGTAGTGAATCAGATGAAGATAAAACTCCAATTATTACCGGTAAACCTCATGTTAATAACTTTAATGGCGAAGAACAAATATTATCAATTGGACAACCAATAAGGAACACGGAACCAACCGAATTGAAACCTGGTAACTTTATTGTACCAAATCAAAAACGGCCTGATCTGCAATATAATATTCAACATTCCCAAAAGGAACATATGTCCAATAACACGATTAATCAAAACAAACTTGTAATTAATGTTCCATCAATGGATGACATTAAACAAGCTATGAATATGGATGAAAAATTACCGCCGTTACCAACAAACAAACATGAAATTAACGATTTGGATAGTCAAGGAAGCACACCCCAACCATCTGTTGTAAAACCTAATCTTAATAACGAAGTTTTAGGATTGTCACCTCCTCCAATGATTACACATTCATTAAAATACGATAACGTAACACAAAGGCCTCAAGGATCAAGGAGGCCTTATCGTCCTAAACCTAAACCTTCAACTACACCTCCGTATCAATTTGAACGACCTCCTAATAGAAGACCACCATTAAAACCCCCAAATAATCAAGAAGAAATGGTTTTAAGACCATTGTCCACAACTGCAAAAATAGAACCTATACAAAAATGGGAAGCATCATTGAACGCTAGGCCTGAATATCGACCACCACATAAAGAAGAAAAACCAGTCATTATGAATGCAGAGAGTAAAGTTGTTAGTCAAGGTTCAAATATAAAACTTAATGTACAAGAAAAAACTAAAGAGAAAACAGTTATTTCTAGTGATCCTGTAATAAATGTGATACCCACACTTGTCACACAAGACACAACTAAATGGTATGAATATAGTCCTATTTCGAGCACTGAAGGTAAAATAGAAACAGTGCAATCTACAACGGAAACCCCAGCATTAACTTCGACCACTATTGGTATTATAAAGTCATACACAACACCGAGTAAACCCACAAGCAAAACTACGGACTACCATAGTGTTATAAGCGTTGTTATCAAAAATGAAGAAAAGTCTGAAGAAAAATCTAGTGAAAGTGCGATAGAAAATCCCACAACACCTAAGCAAAAATCACAAATGAGACCTCAAGTTACAATTTTACAACTTCCGGAAAGACCGTCGTTCATGGACGAGTTCCACAAGCAGTTACATCAAGGTTCTTCGCTTCCAACGAGATTTGTCACTCATACACAGACATTATCTGTAACTGTAACAGAAACGACAGTTTTACAAAGTGATGGCAATGAACCTTCTACGCATACACTGGTCCTTACTAAAACCCAAACATCAACCTTAGTAGATACAGTGACCGAATTTCATACACTTGTTAAACCCACGCAGGTACTATCTACAATAACGACCACAATTCCAGTACCAGTACATTCTGATCCAGTGCTTTTAGCACCTGTCGTAGAAGGGACAAAGACCAAAACAGTAAATGTTCTCCCAGATGAAAATGAAACATTGTTAGTAGTTATGACTGATAAGAAAGGGGGTAGTCATGGTATACCGCCAGAAATCCAAGTTCCCGATGAAACAAATGAAATAGGACCGAGTGATGTTTTGTTGAGTGGGATTTTAACTCATTCATCGGATACCGAATGTCGACCTGAATGCAAAGCTTCTAAAAACGAAATATGTCAAAGAATAGAGAACACCATGAGATGTGTCTGTAGACCGGGTTTTGCGAGAATGTTTATGGATAGACCTTGTAAACGTGAGTAATAATTGCATATACGACATTAAAATAATGGGTATTATTTACTATATTCATTTATCACAATCATAAAATACTTATATGATTTATTTTTCAGCTACTTATACTTATACTATGAAGTTGGTATTAGATAGGTTCCGTAAAGAACCCATTAAATATTCAACAGAGTTAGAAAATCCTAGTTCAAATCAATATCAAAAATTGACCGAAGCCACTAGAGAAGGATTAAATCGTATGTCAATGCAGTCAGACCTAAGGGATATTTATCATGGTGTGATAGTGGGAGGTTATGAACCAGCTGAAAAAAGTGAAAAAGCTGTTGTTTCGTATATTATACAAGTAATATAGTAATAAAAATGACATTATTGATTTTTTTTTTAACAAAATTGTTTACATTTAAAATGAAAGTTATCTGAAAATGCGGAAGACAGTAAACTGTGGGAAGCGATAAAGAAATCACTCAGGGTCACGAATTACAGTTTAGGGGGAACTGAAGTATTTGCTGCTCGTGACCAGTTACAACTATTCTCGGCAGAGGGTACATTATAATCTATACGATTTATTACTTATTAAATATTAAAACTCACAATATTTGATTTTTAGATTTCGACGAATGTAGTGATTCAAAGTTTCACGACTGTTCAGATAATGCCAAATGTTTTAACTTACATGGAACTTATACGTGCAGCTGCAAGGATGGATTTACTGACCTTTCACATAACACACAATTCCCAGGAAGAGTTTGTTCATGTCAGTAATATTAAAACATAGTTTGGAAAAAGAAAACAAATGGATATAATAATGATTTCAATTTGTTTTATAGCCGAACTTATTGGTTGTGATTTATGCAATTATCACGGCACGTGCTATTTAAGCAATCAAGACCAAACGATTTGTGAATGTTTCCAGTGGTATGCTGGAAAACATTGTCAGTTCAATTTAAGGGGTGAGTTAATTTATCAATTATATATGTGATGCATTTTATACAATACTTAACTATAGAAAAACCTGTTGATTTTGTAATATTTTATTATCAGTTTTGTTGTTGGGTCTGATTGCCATCGGCGTAATGCTGTTGTCACTACTTATTGCATGTCTGTTGATGACTTGTTGTAAAAAACGATCCAGGGAGTCTGTGATGGGTTTATATCAACCTCAGCGTCCAGTTATCGGCTTTAGACGGTATAGAAACATGATAGCGACAACAAGAGGGGACAAAAGAGCGATGATTAGTGTCGATACGGGTAGTGAAACAAGCGTTGATCACACGCCACCTCCATATGTCAAACAAGTAAGTACCATTCGAACGAAATAAGGGAATATTCTTTTAACATCGTAGTATTATAAATTTATCAATTATCAATAGGTTATCAACATGCAGAGACAAACTCACGCCCACGTCCATTCTCAGATGAAGACTCCGTCACCATCCCTTCACGAAGGCAGCACCATGCGCAGTGGATTGGAACAACGTGACAGAAGTCTAACGGTGATGATACCTAGGGCTAAATATCGACCTACGCCACAACAAGCACCATCTATATTGACCATGTCAACTTTTGGACCAGAACAAAAAGTGCTGTCGTATAATAATATGGAATCCAGACAAACGCCAACAAAGGTACGTACCCGTAACTATTCAATATCACTTATTATATAAAAGCTTTTTTTTTTTGCTCTAATCTAAAAAGATATGGGGACGGCGGAACTATGATATTAATCTTTATTAAATGAATATAAACGTAATTATATAAATTAATAATTCCTCATTGGTTATTCCGAAAAAAATGTTGTGTTATTTATTGATAAAATGTAGGTAAATTATTATCTAAAATAATAAAATACGAATATTTGTCTGGAGTCGTCAGTATTTTTATTTTTGTTTTATTAGTTTGCAAGATAAGTATGGTACAATACTAAAAATAACCGTATTAAATATTACACAATTTTTATTGCGCAGGGTTCGCGGTGTAGCAGTAGAAAGCCCAGTGATTCTACACAAAGGTCCGTGGAAATCCAACCACCCCAACGTAAAAAGCACGCTGCTCCCAGAAAACCGTCTACCGGTAAATAATTTAATTAATGTTTAAACACGGTTGTTATTTGTTTTGATATTTAATTTGCGGGTCTTATAGGTGCACTGGTATCGGCTGGATTTGAGGTTTCAGCAACTGTCGTCAAAACCAAAGAGTTAGAAGAAGCGTACGTAAGCCGAGACGACGACAAGCCCGATTTTAATACTGGCAGAACGACCGCTGCTAGGTACTTAAAATTAATATTAAAAATATTAAAATCGTCAATATTAATTGTACAATTAGATCTCTTAATATTTAATAATTAAACCACGCTATTTAGAACCGTATCTGTGGCGAGATCATTCGACGAGACGACCGTGCAACCACCTACCAGATGCTATCCCGACAGTCATTATGAATCGAAATCGCAGTATTCGCATAAGACAAATGACGTGAGCAAAATTATAATTTATGAGTTATTATTAATAAATATATTTGTTTTTGTTGTTAAAAACGTTGTTTAAGAATTCAATATTATCCGTTTAAAATACGAACCGGTCGATATTTCAACGTTTTCCCATTTTAGTTGAAAATTAACAACCCAAGTCCATTGTTCACATTAGTGTCGGAACTGCAAACGCGTCAGACGTATTATATTTTCTAAATAACGCTGAAATATATCAGTAACCGCCAAATAGAAATTGTTGTGCATTATTCAGTACCGGTGTATTTGTGCACGGTACCAGTCCCCTGTAATAAATTGATTTTATACAAATACTCGGTGTGCCGTGCGGCGTTGCCCGGGCCAATTTTTTTGTTATTTCTTTCGCATCACCAAGGTAACCGACGAATAAAAACAAAAATAAATAAATAAAAAAACTATATGTCCGTGACGAAAACGCATATAAACCGCTATTTTACCCTCTTAAGGATTAAATTTTCGAAAATCCTTTCTTAACGGGTGCCTACGTCTTAATAGCAATTGTGTACCAGATTTCAACCAGACCCGTCCAGTGGTTATTGTGGGCCGTGTGATAATGAATCAGCCAGAACGTGTTATTATTATTATTTTTTCTTTAATACGTATACTAACTAGATATATTTATTGATTTTTATAAAAACGTGTTACGCCGTCGCATTAGTTACAAACTGTAAATTTTTTTTTTTTTTTTCATTTTTAGGAGGGTCATACGATGGTTGAGAGGGACTTGGGATCCACGTATCTGATGCCTCAGTCGAAACTTTACAAGCCAGACAACAGAGTAATATCCGTGAAATAAATCTTTTACAATATAAAATTATAATAATATACGATTTTTTTTTATCGTTGAACACTCGTTATTTCGAAAAGCGTTGCGTTTTTGGTGCAAAAAATAATTGCAACACAAAGAACATTGTGGAAATGTAATAATTTTAGAGTTGTTCGTTTCTTGAATTGTCGAGAAACTATTTTTTGTTTTTTTTTTTTTTTATTTCTTCCCGAGTGTTCAACGATAAAAATGTAATCGAAACGTACGCGGGCATACGATAGTGTAATGTTATGTTATAGTGTTGTACAACACACAATAACACGGCAATGTTAACTAGCTATACCCAGGTGATATCGCGCGGTCGAAAATTCGAAAATTCGAAAACTAACGAAATCCAAACGTGACGTTTTTACAGGGCAGCGACACGTCGAATTTCGATTCTCTGTGACGGAACCGATCCGTAATTACCCGTTAAAATGCCATATACGATGTAATGTTGTCGACGCGAGCCAGTGTCCCGCGGACCCGTTTCGATCCCGTCCACTAGCCGACGCGTTGAACGCTACGGACTCTACCGGAACGCAGTAACAATAACGATATTAACTATTGTTACCGTCGTTTCAGTCGCAATGTTAGATAATTAAATGTTCAGATTGTGTTATAATCGTCTATAATGTTATACCTATAGTAATGTGTTGTACAGCTTCCGAAACTCTGTACTACTTAATTTATTGCTGTATAATGATGTTATAATATTATTAATGTTGTAATGTCTTATAAAAAAAAAAAAAAAGAAAGAAAAAAACTTTTAAAAAAAATTATACATATTTATATATTATAGAAAAACAAAAAAAAAAAAAAAATAATAATAATAATAATATTTGATTAATATTAGACTTATATATTATATACGTGTGTCACTCTTATTACATTGTATACCCAATATTAACGATACACAAATGCCATATAAATAGGGAAATTTTTACTTTGTTATTAGCGTCATATAATTATTATTGTACATTATTATTAGTTTTTTTTTTTTTCGTACGTTTAGCAGGTCTATCACTGTCGATGCCGCCGCCCATTATAATATACGTAATATTGTATTATTGTTATGAGATATTCTCTTTTCTTGTGATTCGATCCGTCCGCGATCAATCATAATGAAACGACAATAACTCTTTATTATTATTATTATTATTATTATTATTAAATAAGTGCAACGCAACGGTTGATAATGGCGTGTCCGGTCGATTCTACGACGTCGTTTTTTACACTGCAGTTAAAATTAGTTGTTAAGGATACCATATTATGCCTTATTTGTGCCAAAAAAAAAAAAAAAATATTGTCATCTTTCGAAATTATACATTAACAGATAAATTCGTGTACGCGTGTGAGTTTTTATTTATTTGTTTTGGATTTTGAGTGGAGCGATGCACGCATTCAAGGTTTTTTGTTAATGTTTTTGTTAATGATGTTTGTTATTTTAATTTTTTTATGCAAACACTTTTTCTAACGGCACAGAGCACACTCCGATTATCTAGTGTGGCACTTTTTCTGAAAGCTAATGTTCTCTGGGATGTACTTTTAAATGGTCATCTTTTAAAATGCTCATTAATAATCGCGATAATGAGTAAAACCTGGTTCTTTAGGTAAAACAGATTGAAAGATTAAACATAAGTTTGTCATTGGCAACCGTTTTTATTTATTTATTTTAATTATTAAGTTTTTATTATTTTAAATCTTTTTTAAGCATTCATCGTTGACAAAGAAACACTATCAACTGAACTCCGCTCAGAATCGTTTTTTCGTTAGTAACGGTTCATCGTCGCTTACGGATGTACATTAATTTGCCATCTTTACCCTACCTTCCCATTCCCCCCCACCATAAAAAAGTGGCTGCACTCACGTGCGAAGCATGTCCGTCTTTTTATATATATTTTCTTAAACTATCGTGAAAAATATCACGTTTTTGACCAATGAGATGTTTAATATGTAATATCTAGCATTACACGTCGAATTTTCGTGTTGGGTTTTTTTAAGCTTGTTTAAGTTATTTATGAGCCTATGACTAATAGTTTAGCCGTAACTTCTAGCCTTGCGTTGTATAGTATAAAATATACAAAGCTAGGGCAAGTTAAATAATTGTTTAAATTGTTTTAAATGAAGTTTTTTTTTCAAATAAAAATTAATTTGGGTAACTACGATGAGGTACACATACAAATAGTTAAGCTACAAGAAAGTTTGAGGTAAATTATTTATTTCAAGGGGTCATGACGTTTTATATAGCCCGATCTGGCGGAGCAATCAACAACTGCAAACGAAATATAGTAGTTTTAGTATACTAGATTGCACTGACTGAATGTTATTAAAAAATTATCAAATTGAACACGAACATTATAATATAATACTATACTATTTTAGTAAAAATATTTATAATATAATTTTTGATTATTCTTGGCCTACAAAAAATTAACACTTATAATTAGAACGATAAATCTATAAATAGGTAACTATTTATTTTAAAATGAGAACATTAAGAATTTTTGTTAGACACATAAAAATATTTGTACTGTGCGCAAAATATATTTTTTATAATTTATAATATCTAATGGACAAAATGTACAGTTTTAGTCATGAAAATAAATGTATAAACATATTAATACATTTACCGGGAAAACCATACATTTTGAAACATTAACAAATTGTGTTCACTAGAGATAGTAAATTGGATTTCGGATCACCATTAGGTATATAAAAAAAATATTAGTTTTTCAACGATCGATTTTATCATATTGCGTATCGTAATTACCGTATGAGAATAATTCGCAAAATAATTGATTCGGGGAAAAATACTATGTTCAATTTGCTTATTTGTTTGGTTTTACTTTGTGGGTTTTTAGATTAACGTATATTGAACAAAGGTGACCATTTTCACTGTGAAGATTGAGAAGTGTAATTCTTTTGAATGGTCGTAAGACTATTGATCAATTGTATGCCTGACGTCGTGAATTGAGTACATATCAAACACAAACCGCACTGATATCCCAACACCTTCGACATAAATAATAAATATTCAAACGATTGCTATCCAAAATGCCAAATTTCAAAATTATTAATTAATACAATTGTTATTACCATGAATAGTAATTCCTTATTAACGTCATAGAATCCCCACGCAGTTATTCTGATGTGACGATGAAGCAATTGGTCTAAAAAATCAAACGCCTAAAAAAAAAATCGATCAGATTAATCTGAAATTACAAAATGGTGCAATATAATTATTCGGATGCTTTTTACATAAATCTATAAAATGTTGCGAATTAAAATATCAGCAAGTGCGGCGAATAAACTAAACGATTGCCGATTCGGAATTTATAAGCTGAATGAATATTATCTTATCACCGCAGGCGTTTTAAACATTTAAAAAAAAAAAAAAACCGAAAAATGCTGACGCATTGTGACTGATAAAAATATCGAAATATCAATCTCAATACTCGTGCTGAAAACTATGTCAGTTATTATGGCGGAACGAAAAGTTTGTGTTGGCTAATACGGATTGTAACAAAAATAAACAATGTTGTTAAATAAAAGCCGAAAATAGCCTACGATCAAAGCGTGCACTGAAAAATAAAACGGGTGTAACATCTAACTGGTTTTCTATAGAAAAAAACAAAAAAAACAACCTAAATGCAAATACAAAATAACGTTTCAGACCATCGGCTATAGTAAAACATTGTTCGTTCGTGAATAATTGTTACCAATTGTCTTGTATTCCCTGGATACGCGTTGATGTCTTTTTCAAGCATAATTTTCGCCGTCAAGTGAACCTACATGGGTTATAGAAAACGTCAATCTAACATCAACCATTAATAGGACGATCGGTATGTTCCGTTTTGCGGGACACGTATAGTAATAAACGGTAATCGAGAAATTGTTTTAACGTCAAGGGTGTATTTATTTTATTTTTTTAATTTGTACAACCGATCGAGATTTATGGTTAAGCCGAATCAATGGAATTCACGTCAATACTGAACGAACTGGGTGGAGTTTTTTTGAACGATAAACCGACAAAAATATCTATGGGTAAACACGATTTCGAAAAATCGAGAATAAATCGTATTTTACGAATTCTAGACGGCCGTGACTCGGGAAAATGTCGACACAAAAAAAAAAATTTGGAATATTCGAATTTGACGGACGGTTAGAAAATCCCCGAAAATAATCGTACGGACTGTGAAATTCCGGATTGTAAATTTACTGAAGAGAAACGGGCAGACTGTAAAAATCCGGAATACGATACACTGTAAATGTCCGGACTGTAGTCGGCCGGAAAAAAAAAAAAACGCTCACACCAGAATGTTCCGGACCGCGAAAATCCGGAATAAAAATATTCGCACATTGTAATGTGCCGGACATTACAGTATGCGTGTTATTGTATTCCCGATTTTTACAGTCCGCCGTTAACTTCTGTGTAAACTTATCCGTACGATTACTGAAAATTCCCGGGTTCGTACAACCCGTCTGATTATTTCCCGGACAATTGTGGTTTGCCGGATCCGATTCCAAATACGGGTGGATACGGTCAAGGATATTTAAGTCGCAACTGCACGCGCGCGCACCGCGACGGTTACAGTTCCACAAGGTTCGCCGCCCGAAACCCTTGCACGCGAGCCGCAGTCGTCCGGCTATCGCGGGTAAATTCGCGGGGGTCACAGGCGCCGCTCACCTGTCCGGTGAGACCGTCCACCCGGTAACAGATCCACCACAGCCGCAACCACGATACCGTCCAGACGATCGCGTTGTGCGCGTACGTGAACTCGACGTACGCGGGCTCGAAAGTCTCGCCGGCCACGAACACGGACACGACGTCGTTCATGGCGTATATCTGGTTCAGGAGCAGGTTCACGGTGGTCAGGAATATGGGCGCGCCGTACTCGCCGTTGAACAGCCGCGCGAGGCGCGCGAGTCGGCCGTGGGCCTCGGCGGCCGCGGCCAGCGACCGGGCCGCGGCCCACGACCCGGACCGCCGGTTGACGGCCGCCAGCCGACCGGAGAGCGCGTGACAGGCCGCGGAGTACTGGCACTCCATCGTCGTACCCACGTACACGCAACAGGCCAGCGGCACGGTCATCTGGGCCTGTGCGCACACGGTTCGACTTTAGGTTTCGAGTTTAAGTTTTTTAAACGGGTTCGTCGGCGGCACACGTGTTTCCGTGTGTTCCGTAATGGTATTCGCTGTATTCGAATGTCCCGTACGTACTGGAATATTTTCGGTTTTCAAATTGAAAAAAAAAAAAACAGTCCTGTACGAGAGACTTAAAAATTTATGTTCGAGAGTGTGTTGGAATATTGACGTCACCGGAAATTCAATTTTTAAAAAAAAGAGAAATCGCGGCGGCCTAAACGATTCAGGGATTGAATTTCGTGATGACAGGTTGTTGGTCTTGGAGCGGCTAACGGGATAGAGGAATTTTTTTTCGAAGTTCAAGAGAATTCATCGTTGGACACGGTCAATTCCGGTGGCCGTGATTTGCGTGTCCCATACGACTAAGCCATGCTCCGGAACTAGTCGCCCGAGGGAACAACATTGAGATTATAGAGAGTGGGCGACTTTAAATTCGTTGGGAACTAATTGAATACGACCGAGGATTTGGTTAACAGATGTGCGTCTATGTTATTTGCATTTATCCGAGCGAGTGGACATTGCGGAGTACGTCGACAGAAGAGTGTTAGGATAAAACCGTTTTATTGTTACCACAATCGAGTCCAACGCCATGTCCGAGAACGTCCGGTACTTGTAGTACGTAAGGTACACCGTCAATGCCGCCATCGCCATCCGGAACCAGAACTCTAACAGATTTCTCCCCGACTCCACGGTTCGACAACATGTCGCCTTTAGCTCGTTGGCGAAATAGCTGCCGTGTCTGGCGTTTGCCAATCTACACAATAAATCTCGTAATGATGTTGTATACAGGGGGGGGGGATCGACTTTCGATAAGACAATCGTCATCCGGGTAAAATATTAATTTGTTTGAAATTTTTTTTTCTTGGACAATTTGAGAAACGAGCGATTCTACAAACGTGTTACGTTACCGTTATTTTTCGTCACGTTTATTTCGCGGGTGAAACCGCTACCCATTTTTGATTCTATCGTCTACTATACGGATCTCCGTCACTTTCCCCTTATTCAAACTTAAAATTATAATACAATCTCGTCATTGGGTTAAAGGAAATCAAAAATGTCGATACCGAAATGCATTTGAACTAAAAAAATCGTCTGTTAATGGAATTTTCAACGTATGCTGACCCGTGTAAATCAAAAGTGGATTATTGTTTGTACCGTTGAAAATAATTGCGATAAAAAATTACGGAAGTTTGATATGTTAGAGCTGCTTGTTTCATAAATTGTTCAAAAAAAAAAAAAAAAAGTTAATCTTTTCCGAGATAATATGAAAATGTTATCGAAAATCGATTGTTCCGCAAGAAACAAACAATGATAATATCAATTGGTTTTCATAACCCGACATTTTAAAATTATTGCGTCGCCGTATTACCCTGTTTAAATGATAGAACTCGAAACGATAACGATAATAATATTTCTATTGGCTCTGCCGGTTGTCGGTATTCCTTCGCATGATAATTATGAATTCGTGGACTTGGTTTTGGAGAATCGACAAACAAAAAAAAAAAAAGTGTTTTGTAAATTATTTACCGGTAAAGCGGTTAGGTTAAACGGCGAAATACCAAGCTGAAACTTAGAGCCGTAGCTTTCACTGGTCAATAAGATCTCGTTATCATTATTGTTTTACGTAGATATTTTTTCGAATTTAGTTATTTCTAACGATGACAACAAAGAAGTAAAAAATGGATCCATGACGGTTACACATTGGGAATATGTTATTGTTCACAGTCTATTATTAATCAGTAACCCGAAATCGTGATTTGTAATATTTCAACACAATAAATACCGATACACTCAAATGTAACTTTGTCTGGGGTTCCAGACGGAGGATGAAATTTATCTAAAATAAACGCCGACTCGTTATGTAAAACCACGACGGGTGGCGTTTTGTTTCGTGCGCGGCATGTTAAAACGCGACCGGTGCCGCGTTAACAAAACGGGACTTATCGTTTTCGAATGAGTAGTGAGTCGCCTCTTTATAATTCGGGAAACGTGTGTTTGATAGCATTAAAAAAAAAACACGGCGAAAAACGAAAATTGATAAAATTGCCTGTGTATTTTACACCGGTAAAAATGTACCGCGCTCGCGTTACTGCCGCGCGGGCTTACCTGTTCAAAATCAAAACGCCGTAGTTCAGATATATGGCGTAGAGTATCAGGTACTGCGGATTGGCGGTTATCGACGAGTCTTCGATCTTGTTCCTCAACGACGCGTAAAATAGGTACAGGACATTTACCAGCATGAAACACGCCGTCAGAACGAAATAATAATTCGTCTGGAACGTCCCGTGTTTTCCGTTCCATTTCAACGACCAATTTCCAAACAGGAACGAACAGAAACACACCACCGGAATCGTCATAGTGTCGGGCTAAATGACAAAACAAAAATGTGGGCACTTCTACAGTAGAAGCTTTAAGAAGTGCATAGGAGTTCGACGAGGGCCTGCTATTCACGCGATGTATCGTCTATTCTATACGTACTGACGCTAACCCTTAATACAACTACTGTGTTACGGAGTGTCCAACGACAAAAGGGTATTGTTTAATTCTAATGGATACGCCGTACGAGCGAATCGGACATTGAAATTGAGCTATTATTGAACGTCGAAAAACGATAGTTGACACGTCGAAATTACCGCGTAATAAAAAAAAAAAGTAAAAGAAAAAAGACGTCGTAGGATAATGGAGACGGGTGTATACGCCGCGTTGTAGATAGTTTAATGTATACCTGTGGGCGAAAATAAATCATTGCTTACGGAAAAAACGATTCTGAGCGGAGTTCAGTTGATAGTGATGGTTTGTCAGCCATATGTACGTGTCATTTTATTGTAAAATAATTGAATAGGCTTTATATGATATTTCCTTTAGTGATATTCGTTTAATGTTCTACCGATTTTCCCAGTTTTCCTAGGATTTTTCAGATTTTCCCATGTTTTATCCCGGTTTTTTTTTTAATTTGCTGGGAAAATTCTTAGGAAAATCGAAAAATTACCTCTTTTCCTTTTAGAAACATTGCAACCATTGAAAATGGGATCAAAATTGCCGGTAAAAAAGTTGTACAAAGAAAAAAAAAAAGCCATAATATATTTTAACCAATACCTACATTTCTTATATTTTCTAGTTTTTATTCGATTAAAAAAAAAAAATTAAAAAAATAAACAACTTTGTAGAACTATAAGCTTCTCAATCTAAGAACCTTATGAACCATACCATGTGAACAACGTGGTTCAAAAGGTTTTTATTTTAGATTCTGTGTGGAACGACAAATAAAATTTGTTTTAAAATGATGTTTTTTTTGATCTATGAACAATTTTTTTACTAGCAGTTTTCCTTCAATTCACAATGATAGTACTTTTTTCTTTACAGAAAGGAAATCTGACTGAGGAGATACTTAAATGAGGTTGTTTTCCTAGGAGTCTTCCAAATAAATGGAAAAAAACACGGGAAAGCCGAGGAAAATTGGTACAATATTAAACAAATATTATCAAAGAAAATATGTAATTATTTTTCCATAACATGATATACATATATATTGTTGACAAAGCAACGGTTATCAACCGAATTCTGCTCAGAATCGTTTTTTTTTCGTTAGCAACGGTTAATCGTCGCTCACAGATATACATTAAATAACCTATAACAGTGGCTTCATCCGTACTCATTTTTCAAGGACAGCTTTTGTTTGCTCGTTCAAAAGATTCATCGCATAATATTGTACTGCGGAACAAACGGGACGTATCGTTCGAATTGGGCGGAAACGGATATTAATAACGGGCGGTAGGAATTTAATGGGCGACAACGATAACAATGTTCATAACTTATGAGTGACGACCGTTGACCTCGCCGAGTAGACTACGTTTTAATACAATTACGTGTTGCGTTCAGTGAGACTTATCAGTTATCGGTGTTCAGTACCCATCTAAACACCGAATCCGCCATAAGGGCGAACAAATCGTAACTTCATACCATTAACTATTCGAATTTAAAAAACCCGTTTTAATTCCCCAAAGAAACAAATCCTATAACATCGGATACCCGGTGGCCACTGCATAATAATACCTCTGTGGATTATTATTATTTTTATTCGAATTTCAACAACGTTTTCTAACCTGAACGTCATATTATGCTGCATGAAAAAATGTTTCGAATAAAAGTTATGGATCACTATAGGAATAAAGTGATATCGGTACAAAGTTTAATAATATTATCGTTAGGTGTATTTTTGAGAAAACGGTGAAAAACGAAAATGTCTCCGAGTACGTAACCGTTAGGGTAAGTGAAATTCGTTTCTTTGCTGCCACATTCTCAGCAGTGGCTCAAAGATACGATTTAATTTAAGTAGGTTCGATATTGTAGGCTAATAGCTCACCTGACACACGGGTACATTTTTCTATTATATATAGAAAAACTCAAAAGACCTCAAAACTTGTGTTTTCGGTTAAAATCCAATACTGATTTTCAAGTTTGGAAAATAACAACAACTCCCGGTAGAGAACGCAAACACAATAAAGGCTCATTGACATTACCCTGCTTTAACAGAACAGTTGGTAAGTATATTATTGTTTGTAATAAGTTATTTGTGTACTATGTAATAGCAGCGACATCTAACGAACGGCGAGTTCAGTTTTATTTCAAGTTAACTGATGATAACCGTAGATAGCTGCACGCAATACACTTTTAGCCAGTAACTCGTACAGTTTTTGTTCTATACAGTATCACGTAAAAAATATTGACACTGTATTTTAAAGCTATATTCGTCATTATTTTAACCTTTTACCCCACTCCCGGGAAAACATCTGCGGGAGCCCATAGTCTCGGTCGTATACGTACGGAAAAGTTGCGTATATATTTCCCAGACAACGACGCGGAAACTATTTTAACCTGCGACTAAAATATGCAAATCGAGACGTTATTTTTAGTCGCGGGAAGCTGGTATGAAATATTTGTCCCTGGTCTGTGTGAGACGCAAGTTAAAAGTAGGACGTCGTAAATGAACATTTCACCGCTCGTTTGTCCCGAAAAATAGTTTAACTAACAAAAATTTTACAACTTTCCGGTTAGATATGTCATGTTATGCGTTTTCGCTTTTATTTCTCGTGCGGGTGTAATAAGTAACCTTTGTAGCTCGGAATCAAAAAAACGCGTTTCGAAGACTAATACGGCGGCGCATGTCGGCGTTTAAAAATCACAAAACGTTTATTGTGCTCATATATTACCCAGTGAAAAAAAATAAACAATTGATGTCGAGCAGGGTCGTTTGATCCGGTGGGAGGGTGGGGGGAATTCTTCGAGCGTTTTGTAATAGGTTTTTATTTTTCATGAGCGTTTTAAGATTAAATTTTGACGAAAACCGTAGAACCGAACCCGGAATCGTGGTTCATCAACAACGGTCTATTGTTGCTGACTGATCTAAATTGAATAAACGTGTGGCAACTATAACAGTGAACAGTGGCACGTATACGGCCGGTGGAAGGTACAGGCAATACAGACTTATCTCTTATGTAATGTGCGGCATTTTATCATTATGGACAAAACCGTATTTAAGGCCTATTGAAGATCGCTATGATAGCGCGAAAACCGAGAATCTTTTCCGAAATATCGACGAACAAAAAAAAAAAAAAGTTAAAATAAAAACGTACGGGTACGATACATTGAAATTAAACTTGAAACAACGTATGTTGTGTTCTGTCACTGGATGGCCTCCCTCCTCTTATATTGTATTCTCGTATTTTTTTCGTATTTCTTTTCCGTTTTCTAATTTGCTTATTACGCCTCGAAGCACATAATGCGAACATAATTTTAATTTTAGAAAAAAAAAAAAAAATGAACGTACGCAGGTATTCTATGTATTTTATACGAACGTCGACTACCCGCGGTAATGATATTTTTATGCCGAAACTAGCCGTACCGCGGCCGGCGTTGCCCGTGCCAATTTGTATTATTATTGTTTTACCCGTATTTATTTTCGGTTTTGAGAAAACAACAGAAATGACAGAATCGAATGAAAACAAACAGGCGGAAAGCGAGGAGTAGTTCACCTTCGGCGGACCAAAAGGGGTTTTTTTTTTTTTTTTATATAATTTAAACAACAGTAATAATAATAGTAATATTATAACGGTTTCGTTTTCCGCGGCAACCGAATTATCGTCCGTAACACCGAGGTAACCCTCGAACAGACGAAAATAAAATACGTAACATAAGCGATTAGACCGAATACGTACCGAAAACTGCCGTTCCGCCCGCTCGGGCGTTGAATTTCCAACACGCCCGGCTGTCTGCGCGCCGACTTTCGGCCCGATCCGTCCGGCGGTTTGGGCCGGGCGACGATGAAACACTCGGCCGGTCGGCCGGGACGTGTTACTCTGTAACGTCGTACGGACGGCGGAGTATACCAAGAATAACGTTTCGATTTACCGTTTGACGTATTGGACTTTGCGTAACCGTCGGAGAAACGTTCCCCTTACCTCCCCTCAATACGCCCGTGCGCACAGACGGATTACGCGTTTAAACGTAGACTGTTCGTACCGCATTTACCGGGTACAGGGACACAGACAGTCGACGACCGTTGTCTTCTGAAATCGAATCAATACGCGTATCGTTTGCTTTTCGCGTTGATATTTGACTTGTGCGGATACGCGGCGGCCGTATCCCCGGATCTCGATAATTCGCTTTACGTCCGTTACTCCGCCGTGCCACCCCCGGAATATTTGTGTAGACTATTTGTGTAGACCGGAAACTTGCAGGTGCACCTATCGCGCCATAGTTTATTGTGCGTATATTTTTTGAACTGATATTGAACCTTTATCACGAGTAAATAAATCGTGCGTTATCGCTAATGTCGATAACAATCGTTACATCATATTAGCACGGGCGCTGTACCTATTCGTCGGTATTTTTATTGCTCCACGATTGATAAGCAAATTCGTTAAAGTCGTTCCGGTCTCGTTATCAACGAGAATGATAAACGGGCGCAGGGTATCCACGCATCCGTAACGTTATACTCTAATCGAACCGCAATAGTGAAACGATTAATTTATCATTTTTAACTTTCTTAAACAACGCCATACTTGTGCGAACATTATTATTATACGATACGATCGAGTGGCCAATAGAGCGGGGGCGTATTTATCAGCGGGTGGTGGAGGAAGCCGAGCAGGGTGCAGCCCCCGTCCGCGAAATCTCGCGAAAATCTAAAAATTAATTCCGCGGACTACGGAAGGCGCTGCGATAGTATTAACTTACGTTTTAACGGTTTCAAACCTAACCTTGCAGACGTCTAGCGTCTAATATACGTTGCGGTTAATGTCGTTTTATAATACATCAAACATAAACGTTTGATTCTCAGCGAAGCGAGTACAATAACGTGTATTGTAACGTTATATTATAGCGTCGCAATGATGTTTATTAGTATCGTTATTAGTTTTTTTCTACCAGCAAATTTTTTCTACCCCGGTTTACAACGGTAGCACTTTTTCTGAACGGAAATTTTGTATACGCGCCTGCAACGGAGAGATACGAAACGAAAGGGCGACGAATTTGGATTTTGCCTGTGTATACGTTGTGTAGGCCCTGGGTGCGCCCGGCGTCCCCAGTGTCGGCAATGGTTTAACTTTTAAATAATTTATTCATTCTTTGCACGGCGGCGACGACGACACGCGAAAACGTATCGGAATTTTGCGAAATGTTCGTATTTTAACGGACTCAATGAAACAATTCAAAGAAAATTTTGTTTATTTCAACGGGCTTTTGGCCAGCTTTTCCCCATAAGCCCTGGGCGGTTTTTTCCCCGCGTAAGAAACGTGCACCTACAGCTGAACATTTTTCGTAACCGCGAAATTGCCCGACGCGAAATCCGAAAAAAAAATAAAATAAACAATCACCCGACACACGTTTAAGTCAACGCCCGCGCGTTCGCGAAACAATAATTATAATAATACGCACGTTGCGGTCGTCGTCGTTGGCCGTACACTCGCACACATATTGTTTTAATAATTACCGTGACCGCCGTCCGAAAATCTAATTCGGTCACCGGACAACGGTAGCGAATGGGTACTGTCAGGCCGGCCTTTGCTTTTGTCCCGATCTACGGTACTCGTCGCAAACCACGTGGGAATATTGTTTCGTTTTTTTTTTTTTTTTTGGAGGGGGGTGGAGTCGATGAGTGAGATCTTCGCGATCTGTCTAGGAAACGGGATAAGTATATCGTCTCGTTGTGTACAACATAGACGTTAAACAAAAATGTTAAAAAAGAAAAATATATATATACGAGGGCTAATCAAAAAGTATCAAGACTGGTAGTATCATTCGGAAAAGGAGCATCGAAGAGCAGTAGGATTGGTATCACTTGTTTCTATGACTTTTTCTGGGTACATTTGTATTTATTGCTTCTCTATAAAATTCTTCGGTTCGATTTCACTGGTGTTTTTGTAAAATATATTTTTCGAGTTTGGCGATTTTTTTAATAAACCCGAAAGAAGGGTAACTCGACAGATTTGGAGATTTTTGGACAACTTTTCCGCATTTTTTCCCAGTTTCAGAGGGATGCGACATTTCATGGTTTTCGACCATTAAATGTCAATTGAAAAACCGAAAACTTGCCCCCGAGTGGCAGCGAGTTCCGCTTCTTTTGGATCCATTACGAAATCGCCAAACGTAAAAAAGAAATTTCAGAAAAATATCGTCAAATCGAAACGAAAGAGTTTATAGCGATTTTATACGAATAGATGTGCTCGGTATAAGACGTCGAGGCAGGGTTCACGAATCGTTTTGCTCTTCAACGCTCGGTTTCCGTGTAATATTATCGGTCTCGACACTTTTCGATTGGCTACTCATCCCCGTCTACCTCTGCGGTTTCGTCGAATAAAAAACAAAAGTTCCACAACGCGCGCCCCGACGTGCCCCGGAGGTCCGAAACGAAAACTAATTACCCTACGCCCGGGCCGCGCTTCGACTTAATCATAACGGACGCGCGTAAATGTATTTAATATCGGCCCGCGGAAAACGTGCGGTGCGGTCTGCGCGTAACATTTTAACGGCCGTACAGACGCGCGCCGCTCAACCGTACGACGAGCCCGGCGGTTTACCGGCCGCGAACCGTTCGGCGTTGTTAACGGTCGACGCGACAATGGGGACGGTCGCCTGTGCTCCGTTCCCGGCCACGGTCTTGTCGAATCGATTAAATCACCTGCACGGCGTACGCGAGTTCGGCGAACGCGCAGTGTACGACACCGGACGAACGCGGCGATCTGCGGCGCGGCTGAAAGGCCGCGTCGACAAGGAAGCGAGACGCGACCCGGACGACAATACGGTCTCGCACATCGGGCGGATAGCCCAAGCGGACGGGTCTGACGGGCGCGAAGTACCGTTTTAGCGCGGTGGAGAAACTCACCATCCGGCCGACGGTACCGTTCATCCCGCGGGAGGGGCGGCGATCGGAAGGTACTCTCGCAATAAGCTCCGTTTGTCGCACAAGGCGATAAACGGGGGCGGGGGGGGGGCGGGTCGCGTCAAAATTCTGTCGTAAAATACGAGGAGGAGTTCTGAACGAGAATCCGACGAACCATATCATCTCCGATATCGGATCGAGTGGAAGTTTAACACGGTTACGGACGAACGAAAAGAAGACACGACCGTATAGATAAAAGCCACGGCGGCGGTTGTTCGAGTCTGAATCCCGTTCAGAATCGTTTTTCTTTGGGAATAACACGGTATACAATCTAAATTACCCCGCATAATCGTACCCGCTTATATTATGGGTATTGACAAGAAGGAAATAAATAAAAAAAAATACACTTTGCCTTGCCGACTTCCCAGCGCCCATCACAGCGGCGAACCCGTTGCGTGAAGTGTTATTTTTGTTTTTAATTTAATCGAAACACTTCGCGGATAAATATCGCGCGGTACCGCGTGTCAAAAGCCGTAGAAAATAATATTATTTAAAATCACGCCGCGGTACGTCCCGGGGCGGGTTTTATAATTTATTCCGGCCGAGTGGCGCGGGCCAGATAAGAGACGGACGAAAAAGGGTCCGTCGCGTCACGGACCGTAAACACGCCGCGGCCGTAGGTGTGTACCCATACGACGTACCTGTGCGCCGCGGCGGTCTCCGGCCGGCCGCGGAAAATGATGGCACCCACGGGGTTGTTTCCTCTACCGCCGCCGCCGCCGCCACCACTACCCCCCCCCCATCCGTACACCCCCGACCCTCTCCCGCCATTTCCCGTATTATGTTTTCTATCGCGGTACGCGCCCGACGACCGTCCGCCGCGTGTACGCGCGCGCACACACACGAAACAACCGCATACACTCGCACGACGACAATGATAACAACGATAATAATACAACGTATATTATTATCGTAAATTATTATTATTACGACGCGAGTGTTATAATAAATGCGCGCGCGGCGTATTCATAATTCACGGGACGTTGTTCGGGCGCGTGCGTGTCGCGGACACGAGCGCGTTTTTAAAACGCGTCCGGCGGCGACGGGACCGTAAACGCTTACGCCCGGACCCCGAAACGCGCAAACCCGACCCGCGGTTTTTCCGTCGCCGCCGCCGCCGCCGGCCGGTCGGTCGGTCGGTCGCGCCGGTTCACACGAATTCGTCGTGCGCGCGTTCTCCGCCGGCATTCGGCCAGCCCCGCAGGTCGGGTTCACGGTCTTCTCCCGTGTCGCCCCCGTTCTTCCCAGCAGCGACCGACCTGCGCGGTCTCGCGCTGCTCACAGTTCCGGCGTCAGAAACGGCGCTGTCCGGCTGTCCTGTCTTCTCTGTCCCTCCGGCCTTCCACTATTCCGTGACGCGTTTCATCGACGCACCGCAACGCGCGTCCGATAATTAATGACACGACCGTCTCTTTATTCGTCGATTGGCGTTGACAGTTTTCCGGATTACGTCCGTCGCGTTGAGTATGTCGTCGTCGGCCTGTGATTCGGTCCGGCCGACCCCGACTCGCACCATTCTGCGCCGACACCGCGTTTCGAACCTCTCCGACGTCTTTCGTCTGCTCTATTTATTACCCGTGTATCCGATGTCACGCATATATTTCTATACGGTATTACGGCAATAGAATTCAACGGCCTGCAAATGTCTGTGTAATGTTGGGCATTTTGCGAAGAGGTTTTCGGTGTTCCCACGCGGTAAAGTCCACGGGATACTCAGTGTCACGGTTGAGTGTGTTTTCTGTGTGTACGCATTAGAAAGTCAATGGTAAATGATTTAGTCAGTGTAGATTCGTTGACAAAATACTGTATAATATTATATGGGAAACACCTCTCCCACTGGATGGGGAACGGTAAACGGGAATTTCAAAAGTTAAGGGGAAGGTTCAGTCTATCTGCTCTATAGAGCTTTTCTTCGGGGGAGCAGAAAACGAACCACGGTGAATATTCATTGAAAAAAATGCCCTGATGTGATGCGATCCACAACCGAATTTATCACACGCGAAGATTCGATCATTTTCATGCGGAGCTGCTTATTCGCATAGCTGATGAGTCCATGACGCGCACACTGGAGTTAGATTTTTTAATTTCGATCTCTAGAGGGTTTGCTCATACATAGGGTTTTCGGTGTTACAATACGATATTTGAATTTTTTTTTTATTTTTAATTTCCGAGTCACCTCGGTGATACGGAATGAAATGACCAGCTAGAACAGAGGAAACACGGACTAACGCATTAAATAATATTTATTTTAAAAATTTAGGGGTAACAACAGTCGACGTCGAGCGAGACGGCTAGTTATTGTACTTAATTACGAGTAAATTTCCAAATGTAATACACTTATATCGTTAGCTCGTGCGATGTTTTATAGTTGCGATTACATTTTTTTTTTTTTTTTTTTTTTCGG